CCCTAAGCCAAAATAATTGTACTTACATTCTTCCTTTATCTGTGAGCACATTGAAATAATACTTCTTTTTTTGAGATAATTAAAAATCCCTCCATTTACATCTCAGATATTTCACTGTTTCCCACCCCTGACATTTATCAGTCACTTCTCCAGATAAGGGTGACCTCTCTGAAATTCTCTGCTCATCAAATTACACAGAGTGGGGAATGAAAAGGGTTGAAACCAAGATACAGTGAGAGACACTAGCTGGGGGAAAAAAAAAAAAAAGGCATAATGAAATCAGAGGCAAACAAGATCAATCCACAGAACCCAGATGTCAAAGAGGCAAAACAATTGCCAAATAAAAAATGCAGCTTTCACTGAGGGGAGCATAAGGGAAATTAGCAATTTAGCTAAATACACAAACCTGCCCATTCCCCTTTGGTAAAACATGCAGTAGGTGCCAGTGTGTGGAACAGCCTGTCTGCCTCTTCTGGCACGCTGCTTAAACCCTGCTCTTCACAAAAAGCATAAACTCTCACGTGCCTGCTACAGGGGCATGCACTGACTCCAACACAGGACAAAGAATTTGGCTTTTACCTTGGAACTGATTGACCTGTTGCACTGGGTACGGGCTCCGCTGCTGCTGCAGATGCTGCCGAGGCAAATGGGACTGCTGCTGCAACTGCTGGGAAGGAGTGAGGGAAAGGAAGCAAAAGGAAAAGATGGTTAATTAATTAGTGAGCTGAGAAAGGGGCTGGTGGCAAAGAGCAACGCAGCAGAACTGCAGCGTTTCTTATCCAGCAAGCTGTTCTGGAGAGACAGAATCATTTCGAGAGTCCTCCTGAGAGCACTTGGGGCCACTCAGCACATGGACTCCTTTGGGCTCACAAAGGAATAAGCACTGAGGCAAACATCACCTCTCCTTACTTACAACCACTTCATCTCAACATCTGCTGTGAGGACCTGACCTGTCTTCAGGCTGAAAGGAGAGGGAGGTAAGAAATAACTTTGCTCACCTAGGTCTAAGGGCCACTGTAGCCACACACACTTTCCTTCCCCCAGCCCTGTGAAGGTCTAGAGGCTTGTGCTCTGGGACAAGACTTTCCTCCACCTCTGCACTCAAACCACTCAGCTGCAAGGAGTACTGGATCCTGACCTGAGCACTGTGGCCTAGGACTGTCCCCAAGCCAGAACAGAAATGGCTATGAAGGTGCATTTCTTCTTGTGCTGCAGGGACTCACACTTGGGGAGCAGGTGACTGCAAAACACCTCCCTCCCTTGATGCAGCCCACCGTGCTCCTCTGTGGTTCTCTCATGTGAATACTCGTGCATCTAAAGCAGCATCAAGGGTTGATTATAAAAACAGAGAGTGTGTTTACCAGAGCTTTCAAAGCTACTCCACAGCACTTACTAAAAGGACACGTCTCAGTTTTTCATCTGCAGCTGTACAAATACTGTGTCCGAAAACAAGGGTGTGTGATGATGGCAAGAGAATGGCAAAGGTGGGAGTGAAGCAAGCATTGTGTTCATAAATACGTGTTACACACTATAAAAAAGATAAAGGGAACCTTGCTGGGCACAAAACACCCCAAAATTAAGAGCCTGAGGACTGTGACTTGATCACTTTCCTTCTATGCCAGCACACTTGACAGCCTCAGCCTTCTGGTTTTCAGCACTTTTAGGCTTGCCTTCAGCAGCCGAGTCACTGACTGGCTCTTGGGTTTATGTACTTGAATTGGCCTAATCTGTGATGGGGGAACATCACTGCACCCTCAGTCTCCTGCACTTGTTCCCCTCTGAAAGAATTCATGCATCTTTATCCTGGATGTTTCCAGGAGCATCCTTCATGGGGGGTGAATTTTTCTGTTTCCCACGAGAAGAGGGGAAGGCTGTCAGTATTTCTGTGGTTACACAGCTTGCACAAGCTCTAACACAGATCAAAGCAGACCCCAGGTCTTAAACTGTATTTTCCTAGCAAGAGAGGAGAAGCCAAGCTAAGCTTAAAGCAACCACTGACCTGCCAGAACTTTATCTAGGTAACGACAGGATGCTGCACGTTCAAACAGGTATGGGCTATGGGAACTGAGTGGTGTCACTGACTTTCTCCTGGGTTGCTCTTAAACCACAGCTGACTTAAACACACCATTCAGACTGGGTAAGTTAACATCCAGAGAGCTCCAGCAGCCAGGTGAGAAGCTGCAGTGCAGCAGTTCCACGCTGCCACTGTGAGAGGTGCTTTTACTGTCCTCCCACTCCAGCCTCCAGCTGCCCCTTGACGCTGCCTCTCCCTTGTGCTAACATAATTGCTTGTACTGGTGTGTGATAAACCAGGTGAAGGAATTCATCTGGGTAGGTACTAACTTCTTCTTTGCTGGGTGAACCCACCTCAGTTCTTTGTCACAGCCGTATGCAGCTTTTGCTAGTGCAAGAGCACAGTCAGAGGTAGGGGTGAGCACCAGCAGCTGCACCCACCACTGGAAACGTGGGTAATATTTGCCAAGCTAATGGCAAGACTGAGGCAGATGCCTCCTCCTCGATAACCATTGCTGAAATACCATGAGAGGAGCCACAGAGGGAGAACTGCCACACAGAGAAGGAAGGGCTGGTGCTGCACTGTCCCTAGTGCTCCTGCTCTCCTACCCGCAGGCACCGCTGTGCCCGAGACAAACAGATACCATACCTGCTCTGCTAGGATCTGCTGCTGCTGCTGCTGCCTCTGCTCTCTTAGAAACTGTTGTTTCTGCTGCTCTATCACGTGGAGCTGGGCTCTTTGCTCAATCAGCATCTGCTTCATGATGGCCGCCTGAGGTTGGTTTCCCAAGAAGGGGCCCCCGGAGCTCGTGCCTGTGCCCACGCTGCTGGAGCCCGGCGGGACAGAAGGCTGCATTGGCCCCGTGGTCCGAGACAACCCCACCTGATGCTGCTCCTGTGCAAAGAGAGAGAGAAGGCCTTGTTACTCAGGGTGCTCGGTGTGAGAGGGAAATGATGGCTCATTAACACAAAGCACTGAGTCTGTGGGTGAAAACTCACACACTTGTAGAACGTAAGAGTCCTTGGCAGGATGCGGGTGGCTTGTGAGCAAGCCACGGGCTGTTCCCCACAGGGAGCAGGTGGCAGGTTCCTCTATTCTCCTGGAGTTCAAAGCCCTCACAAATAAAGCAAGAGCACTTTACAACTGATGAACAATACAGGAATAAAGTCATACACGAGGTTTATTTTCACTCGGGATACGTAACTTCAGAGTAACGTTCTTCCAAACGTTTCCTCCCTTACAGCGTAGACGAGAAATACATTTTCACCCCATTTCGCTTTCTCCACCATGGCATTTTAGAGTCCCCCA